ATCAGTAAAAGACATAATCACTGACTATCTTTCTTCTTCTTGAAGCAATAGAAATAAATTCATTAACGACGTTGGCCACCGTGGCAAGAGAAAAACGACACTCAGTTCTTTTTTATGTTTTTCTATGCAAGAGAATACTGCTCGAAAGAAAGCTGTGTAGCCATATTTATGAGTGGTCCCAGTAACATGATACGTAGAAGACTGCGGGTATGAATATAAGTGAATCCTCTTTTTATTCACTCATACTCCACACTATTATTTTCTCAGAAAGAAAATGAAAAGTTGTCATAGTAGTTTGAACATTATCAATCTACTGAGCTCTTGTTCTAAACATGAATCTTAAAGCCAATATTTTACTCTTTCGTTCATCAGCAATAAAATAGTAGATCTTTTTCTATTTTATTGTTTTGTATCATATGCTTTGTTACGGAATTTTCTAGAGGAGTTCAGTTCTTTTAGCTTCTACCATCGAATTGTGAGACTGCCACAATTTCTTTAAGATGAGTCTTAAAGTTGAGACATTACTAGTTCTAATAGAAAGACATTCAGGATTATTTTTTCATGAAATTTATTGTAAAGATAGCGCAGAATTTAGTACAATTCATTTCGCATTATTTTTCAAAACATTGTAGCAAAATGTCCGCTAGCCACATATAGTGACTCGAATTAAAAGAAGATGCGAAGAATTAATTTATTATGATAAGCGTAACAATTATAATTGGACACTGTTAGTAACTCGATAGCTTATATTAGTAGTCTTTAGTATCAACGCATCTACACAACAATGTCTGTTATTCCTTTAGCGGCATTCAGTTGTTTTTGTACCATCGGAATATTCTTCACAAGTTCGATATACTCCTTAACAATTATCAAATCGTTGTCTTCACGTGTATGTAGCATGTCTCTTATTCTTTGTTTGTAATTAACTTTGAGTTCTTGAAGTTTCTTAAGTAGCTGCGCGTTGAAACCGTGATGATGTTTATTGTCACAAATGTAATTCTCGTCGTCAATCATTCGATTGAGACTGGCCAAGAAAAGGTCATCGCTCGAATGGTGAATAATATATATGAGGAAATGAGCAAAGTGCACGCTGGCAGAAAAAAGTGCTGCATACCAAGTGGTCAACTCATCCAGTTGATAGTTCACTCTATTGACTAATTCATAATCAAGTTGATAATCAATCTGAACGTGTCGCCTTGCATCACATGAACAATGTTCACAGTAATTTCGATATTCGTGCAAAGAATCACAGGTGATCCAAAATCTGTTATATTGTCGTATTGGACGCTGGCACAAATAGCATATAGCTGAAGGTCGTTGGATAGGTTTTGGATGTAACTCGATCCATTTTGACGAAAACCTTAATTTGTATAATATTCGATTTCGAAAAATATTTCGCATTGATTCCATTATTGGACGAATCATCTGCACGATTTCGAGTCGTGCATATTCTACTTCTTGTAATCCTTGATGTAAGAGATATGGACACTCGCTTTGACGAACATAATGCATTAGTTGTTCTACTCCTTTCTTTGAAATTGACCAGCTCTGCTCACATTGTAACTCATGAGGATCAAGCCAACGTGCTCGAGCCAAATGAAGAAAAAAAGTACTATCAAATACAAGTATGCGCTCGTTTTTCCAATCGATTTCGACAAGCGGAGGTGATTGGAGCAGTGATTGAACTCGAGCTTTTCTTTCATTTTCATCGTTCGAGATAGAAAGAGATTTGGTGAAACAAAAGACAAGTCTGTCATGTGCTTCTTTTCCAAGAAAATTGAGCAACTGCATTAAAAGGTACCCATAAGCAGTGAGCTCAGAGTCACCTGACTCTATCAGAACACAGATGGCATTCAAATGTGTTAGGTTCGAGATGTATGATAGTATGTGCTGCATCGTTATTTCGTTGTGAGTCGGACCGCGTACATCAGAAAAGCCAGGAGTATCAATGATGCATAATTGTTGCCCATTTCCGATATCGAATGTATGCGATCTGCAACGCTGAGTTGTGGATTGACCGGGATGATTATGATCTTCGTTGGGATCGTTTTTGCCAAGTTGAATGAAATGTGGTTCCACATCAATCATTAGTGGAACCATGGATGAAACCAAAACATGCAGAAAAGAGTCACTTGATAGAGCTTCTGAGAGTGTTTTGAACTGTAGACAGTTAGCAATGGTGTTAATTAGCGTTGATTTGCCCGTCCCTGATTTACCTAAGAGAACAATATTGATTACCTTATCGGTGGAAGATACAATTAGGCGAGAGTCAGAATTTTTCGTTGTGTGTATGACAGACTCACGCACGCCACCAGTCGGAATATAGTCCTTTGACGGAAACGTTTTTATCATATTTAGCTCGTATGAACAATAAGAGAAATCGATATAAACTAGATTCAGCTCAAGGTTTTCTGCACATTCCTTAACCATCAATCCCAGTATACCCTGCAATTCTGACCAATGCGCTGCGTTTAAACTGTCATTGGAGCATAGTATGCGTTGTTGCTGCCCATCTTTCATTAACTTTCTTTGGATCTCATCTTCATTATCACCTTGTTTGATACTACATCGATCGGCATTCAAGTAATCAAACCCTTGGTTTTTCAAATAAATGATAAAATCCTGTTTTTCTTTTAGATTTCTCAGTTCACGCTTTATATTGTTGATGACCCGCTTCAACTTAATTTCTTCTTCTTCGATCCGTAAGTAACACTCAATAGCTTCTTGCGGCTCTTTGCCTTGACGTATTCGTGAAATCAAATATCCACCTTGTTTCTTTTCTTCATCATATTGCTTTATTAATTTTGCGACTCTAGTGTGGATCGCGTCCACCTGTTCTTTTAGATTAGTTTCCAAAATATCGGAATTTGTATTTTTTCGAAATGTTTCCCACATTTTGCTGACACAGGATAATCGAAGCCAATGGTCTTCAATCTTTGTTGCGATTCTTGGCTCAATGGGAATAAATGTGATATTTTCTTTATTTCCATCTGAATAAAAGATGTTGATTGGATGAAGAATATAGTTGCAAGGTTGTTGATTAGCAGGAATAGTTTTGATTTTCTGAATTGCTTGGCACACATTGAGCAATGTAGACTGACCTACTAAATCAGGTCTGTTCGAATAGACATATGTAGAAAGAATTCCATTCAGTGCTTGTTCATCAATAATTAGTTCCGTCTCCTGCTTCATGCACTGGCATATTTTACGGAGGGTGACGTCGATCATTTTTGTATCATCAGGCGACAGTGTCAGTAGAACGACAACATCGATACCCCAATCTATTGCAGTAATGACATGAGTGGCAGGAGCTGTACAAAGTTGTTGTTGAATGCTGCTCTCGTTAACTAATGCTTGATTTCGAACAAGGTATGAATAATAGAAGATACGAGTACATTCGTCGATTACGAATGGATAATCAACAACTGAAGAAATACCGGTTGCTGCAACCAAGTTCGATAACACACTCAATCGAAGACCGATGGGAAAATCAATGCGTCCAAGAAGATTTCGATTCTCTAGCTTGTCACCACTTTTTATTTCACATTTTATCGGTGGATACGTGTAACTTTCTTTCATGTTTAAATTGATACTTTGCGACGCTAAAATACAATCATGCCACCCATCATAACAATTTCCTATATGACCCTCAGGAGTAATTGCCTTGCGCACAAGGATATTCGACGTAATGTCGTTCGCCAGTGAGGTCTTTCGATTTAGCTGCGATTCTAGTTTGGAAATGTTCAAGATAATCGATCTCAAAATCAACGCATTGCTATAAACACTTTTCATTAGTTCTCTCGTGCCTGGAAGAGTCTGATTTATAGGCCATTTTTCTCCTTCGAAGGCGATCCAGCTGCTGACACATAGAATGAAATGTTTGGCATAGATGCATTTCAGCCATTTGTCTGGCAACTTCTTGTAGCCATAGTAAGCACCGGCCAATTGACCATAGATAGCTGCTGTTGTGTCTGTATCATCGCCCAGATTAACCGCTTTTAGTGCACCTGTCTCGAATGAGTCTCCATCACTCCAAAAGGCCCATAAAGCAGCTTCCAAAGCATTTACAATATATCCTTTTCCTCGAATTCCATCTTGATATCCACCTTGTTTTTTGTACGAACCTTGAGCAATCGTCATGATATCAGAATGAAGTTTTTTGTTAACAAACCACTCGCGATGATCATCGTAAAATGTATTACTAGTCAGTTTCTTTTTATCTTCACCTTGAATAGCAGCCACAATTAGTGCTCCGTAATAACGACATGCATCATATGCTTTCTCATCTCCATGAGTGATTTGACCACTAATACCCGAATAGTCAACAGCCAGTTCTGGGCGTCGATAGAAGAAAAGTGGTACAGGTGCAAGACGCATCAAAGCTCCATTGCCAGCCACACCATCTTTGCTGCAATTTACATCGAATGCTTGAAGTAGATCATAATCAGATAGAGAATCCATTTGATCTAAGAGAATATCATGATCATGTGCAAACTTGTTTTGACGCTTTTCAAATTCTTGAATTGATTGTTGAGTGGCTGCGCCAATATCAAAGCAATGACCGGTCGATGACATATACCCATATCGATACCACCACTTATAACGAACTAGTTGATCGTATGGAATAAAGTCTCGACAAGCAATCAGTGAATTAGCCAAGCAAAGCGCCATAGAAGTGTCATCGGTGAACTACAAAATCGAACTGCTATATACATCGTACAATTAGATTCGTTACCTGTCCCCGTTGTAGTCCCCATGTTCCTCCCCCTACTAGGTCTGTCACCGGATTTGCAACTAAATAGCTATNGTTTTTAGTTACTTTTCTGTTACAGAAAAGTTATATGTCTTTGAAAAAAAAACAGCGAAGAACAATTATCGTCAAATTTCGTCAAGCATTCATCTACTGTACACTGCAGTTAGAACGCTGCATTTCACCATCGGAATCTTTGCGTAGTGTCGTTAATGGTTTGTTTTTATTAGTATTTCGAAGTACGGTATCAATGAACTCAACTAAAGCAACAAGTTGGAAAGAACTCAAAAATAAGTTTCTATGATCAGCCATGTTTCCTATTCTTATTGCTAATGACCATTTCAGAGATGAATGGTAGTGGGTATTTTTCGAATAACTTTTGATAGGAAAGAGATAGAGACCTGCGGTTTTCACCTTTCACCATTAGAAAGGGCAGATGAAAACACATCGAATCATATATTGAAATATTTTTTCTAATGACTTTTCTGAAGGTTTTAGCCAAACGTTTTTGAAAGAATTGCGTTTTTCTTGTGCGTTGCAAAAGTAATTTTTTTGTCGACATACCACAAAAAACCTCCATTTTCGACTATTCCGTTCAAAAATTGGATGATAAATTGTGTTTCAATGGCTGAAATATCTTTTCAGTAACAGTTAGGAATAGAGCCGTTCCGTCGTTTTTGTAGCTATTCATTCAGTGGTTCTACAACATTCCTCAAAATTAATAAATTAATATCGCCATCATGAGAGGTGTGCTGCTTTCCTTGAAGCGTTACATAGAACCTTTAGAAAAGTCGTTAGAAAAATCTTTCTGTATATGGTTCGATGCATTCTCATCTGCTTTTTTCAACAATGAAAACCTCAGGTCTCTATCTTGTTTCCATCAAAAGTTATTCGAAAAATTCCCACGGCCATTTATCTCTGAAATGGGCACTAGGTAGAATCTTTTCATAATGTGTTGAATTCTTAAATCTTGCAAAGATTTTTGCGTTTCGAAACTGTAAAATCATTTAGTCTCATGCGCTTGAACTTTGAGTACTCTATTCCTAACGAGGGAACATTCCCAAGTGTCACATCGCTTTTAAGTGGAGCATACGCGCACTATGTAGATCCTAACGATTTGTGAATTCTCTGAAAAAAGTTCATGCCGCTAGCTTATTATAGCTGAGATACTACTTTTTTACTGTGTGTTTAAGAAAAAAGAGCTGTGGTCCCCGAGGAACACCTGAAAAACTGAATTTCGAATTTCAACCTCAAACTTTGCAAGGGTGTGGATGCGGGTTAGCGGCGGAACCGGAACAGTGGCGACTCCCTGGCAGTGAGTGAGCAGTGGAAGGTGGCGCCAATCATTTAATTTTTTAAACTTTTTAATTAAATGTTAGGAAGACTTGCAATTTTTACCAAATATAGTACTTTTTACGACTAAGCTGTAATAAAAATTTCAGGTCTTCCAGGCACTTAATTAAAACATTAAAAGCAGAAAACTAGTGGCACCACCTTCCACTGCTCGCTCACCGTCAGCGAGTCGCCACTGTTCTGGTTTCGCCACCAATGTGGGTGTGGAACTTCTCTCTATTTGCACCCACACCCACACCCACACCCACACCCACACCCACGCCCACACCCACGCCCACACCCACACCCACACCCACACCCACACCCACATCCACCCACACCCACATTCACATCCACCCACGCCCACACCCACATCCACACCCACGCCCACACCCACGCCCACACCCACACCCACACCCACACCCACGCCCACACCCACGCCCACACCCACACCCATCCAATACCAAACCAAGTATTACTTGTGGGAACATGTAGCAGCAACAGTAGCGACGTCTATTTCCACATCAAAATCTCAAAATGTTTTAGAACGAGGTATGTTGCTTTGCATACGACTAAAATCTTACTTAAAAAAAAAAATTTCATTGTTCCTATCATTTGATTTCTGCATTATGATTCACTATTTTTGTTTGTCGCATATCAATCAACGTCGTAACGAATCAGTTCTCTTTTATAGACAGAACATATCGTGTGTGGGTGTGGGTGTCGATAAAAGGAGCACCCACACCCACACCCACACCCACACCCACACCCACACCCACATCCACACCCACACCCACACCCACACCCACACCCACATCCACACCTACACACACCCACACCCCACCCTAACATCGATATGAGCAGATAAGCATATTTCGCTACTTATACACATGTTTTGTTAAGAATGAATAAATTATTTCTCATATGAAATTCATTAAGACAAAGGATTTTCTATGCAGTTTTCCATCACTTCTGAAAAGTCTTCTGATTGTAACAGGATTCTTTTAAGATGTTGTTATAATCCTTTAGCGCTTCTCACAACGTTTCTTGTCTGATGCTATTATTTTTCTTCACACATCTTTAGTATTCTGTTAGAATTTCATAAAAAAAAGTCATCAATTCCTATTAGAATTTCCTTGTATTTTTCTGAGGTGTCTCTGTAAGTACTCTTCTCAGATTTCACTAAAATTACACTTCGATTCTCTTAGGTTTCTGAATTAGAATACGCTTAAGATTATGATAAGTTCATTATAAGAATCTTTGAAAATTTCGTCTCGGTTCACTTTTTTAAGCCAGCAACAATTCTGAGTCTCCTGTGAATAACTGACTGATTTGTTGCGTAGTATTTACTACATGAAGATTTTCGAAAGCTAACAATGGTCAAGTAGCTATAGATTTTTTTATGAATATCCTCAAAGAATCACTTTACTTATTCATTTATTGCGATCATCGTCGAATGAGTCAATTTCTTTGGAAAGTGTCACTTACGAGGGAAGGTCACCAACTGTTCAATCGCTTTTGCATTGAAACTACTTGCATTATGTAGTTCCCAAAGAGTTATGAATACGCTGAAAATATTTTGGGTGGATAGCTTATTGTTACGAAAATAGGTCATTTCTAAGGTCTTTTTTTAATGATTGCCGTACTCCCCCTCAGGAACATTCGAAAAATTGATTTTCGAATTTCGACTTGAAACTTTGCATATAAATTCATCTCAACAAGAGTAGTGTTTTGAGATCATTTTTGGTCATTGAATTTGTTTCTTTCGTCAAATCTACTACTTTATTTGAACGATGAAGAATAAAAATTTCATAATAGCTGTGTCCAGTCATAGAAACGCTGGAAAGATCTGACACGTTCAGCAAAAGTTGTTCTTCTAGGAGCGTCTTTCTATGTAAAGTTTCAAGTCAAAATTCGAAAATGAATATTTTTAATGTTCCTGAGGAGGGGTTTAGGCACTCTTTAAAACCCATACCTGACAAATGGCCTATTTTCGTACCAATGAGTTATCCACCCAAAATATGTTCAGCGTATTCATAACTCTTTGGGAACTACATAATGCAAGTAGTTTCAACGCTAAATCGATTGAACAATCGTTAGATCTAAAAGAATTTCGTTTCATAAGAAATAAAAATAAGACAAGCTACTTTTTTGGAAGCTATGAAGCCCTCAACGATCTGAAAGATACTGTCGTTGTCATTGTCAGATATTTGAAGAAGCATTTTTGCCCCTAGATTTCTAACAAGAAGTAGAAAAGTTATTGCTTCATTCATTCTACATTAAAATAAAAAAAAGATTTCCTTCAAAGGCGAATATTTGGTTCTTTGGCAATTTCTCCTCTCTTTTGTTCTTTGTAGAGGGTTCCACTTATCTACTCAACGCTCGATGGGTACAGGATGCCATGACTGTTGCTGGTGGTCATGGAGCAGGCAACGATACTAATCAACTCAACAACACTCGTGGTATATGTGTTGACGATGATCAAAATATCATCATCGCTGACAGCAATAATGATCGTATTATTCAGTACAAGATGGGTGATACGAATGGAAAAGTAGTAGCTGGTGATCATGGTGAAGGAAGTCGGTTGAATCAATTGAATAAGCCAAAGGATGTACTGATTGACAAAGAGACAGTTAGTCTAGTTATTTGTAATCGAGGCAACCGACGAGTCGTACGGTGGTCTTGTCGCAATGGTGTGACTCAAGGAGAAATCCTCCTTGATAATATCGGTTGTCTAGGATTGGCTATGGATGATCAAAGATTTCTCTACGTTGCCGATTTCGACAAAGACGAGGTAAGACGGTATCGAATAGGTGACAAGAATGGAGTTCTGGTAGCTGGTGGTCATGGACGTGGTACTGATCTCAATCAACTTGACAATCCGTCTCACATCTTTGTCGATCGATAACAAACTCTCTACGTATCAGACAACAACAAACATCGTGTGATGAAATGGAATAAAGATGCAGAAGAAGGAATTATTGTCGCTGGAGTTTCAAAAGCAGGGTCGGCTCTCACACACTTGAGACACCCTAACGGACTATTTGTTGATACATCAGGTAACATCTATGTGGCAGACGACATAAATCAACGAGTGATGCGTTGGTCTGAAGGAGCCAAACAGGGCACTATTGTTGTAGGTGGAAACGGTAAAGGATCAGCGACAAATCAGTTCAATGGTGTAACAGGTTTATCTTTTGATCGTTATGGTAATCTCTATGTTGCTGACCGATGGAATAACCGAATACAACGCTTTTCTATCGAACAAAGTTTTTAGAACAATTAATTCGTATTTTTTACCCTTTCTTCCAAATAAATCATTCTAAACGAGAGAATACCGATTATTTTATTTACGAACAACCTGAAACCAGCATGTTGAATGTGGTTATACATGAACAGTAATCCGATGCCTATCTTTTAGGCTGTGGGTGTGTGTGAGTATGAATATTTACAGTCATTTTCACTAATTCTGACGAAAAAATTTTACTACTTTTTGTTTCAAGTACCGTTCGACTATTTTACATGAGATCAAAAATATTTTTAGATATAGCTAATCTCTGGATTCGCCTTTTATTTCGCACATTTTCATGGAGAAATCACTGGTCTACGAAAATCACTTGCACCCGACAGAATTAGGCAGTAGTTCCTTAATCCTCTCGACCAGCAAAAAAATCTCCCTAATTCTGACGCTTCTAATAAATTGCATGGGAAAATTCAACTTTACGGGAAAAAGTGTCTTTATCTTGTTTTTCATAAGAAATGAAGGGAAGGTCTCTTAGACATTTTTGTAGAGCAAATCAAGCTCTATCAATATCTAAAGGGTGTGGGTGTGGGTGTAGGTGTGGGTATGGGTGGGTGTGGGTGTGGGTGTGGGGTGTGGGTATGAGAGAATTAAAGGTTTACACCCACACCCAAACTCTTATTACAAACTAATACATGAAAAAACATTCTAATTTGCCTTTTATAGACTTCACTTTTGATATCAATCATTGTTACAACAAAACAAAATGCTTAGTGTCATAGTTTTTATATATTTTTTTCAATTTCAAATAATAATAAAAACTTCCTTATATATAAAATAAAATAAATAAGCAAACTTTCTCTATAAGAATAAGAAAAAGACAACATAATAGTTTTTAAAGGTTATAATCTATAAAAAAAAAAAAATTCGTCTTCGTTCGTATAGCTAATATACTTGAACTGAAAAGAACAGCATTTACAGGTGATGGTTTATATTTTCCCATAGCTTTCATTTTTCCATTTTTAAGAATATGAAAAATATGTGAAGTCTTTCCTTCAATGATAAGCCATTCATCATATTTAAATGAACAACAACGAATAGTTTGTTGAAACCAATTTCTTTTAATATCGAGTTGAAGTAACCAAATTCTATCAAGTGTTGTTGATGATCGAAGTTCGGAAAGAATTGTATTATTTGATGAAACTTTAATTATTAATGCTGATGTTCCATTATTATAAGCAATATCATCAATATATTCATTTTTTTTACATGATAAAGGAGGTTTCCATCGTTTAACTAATTGAAATGATGATAAAAGACTAAATTCAAAAATATTTGTACCCATTATTGCATTTGTTAGAAATATTGATGTATCTGAACATGTACATGACCACCAATAATGTTCTTCATTTATTTGAATACATTCAATTGATAAAGAATTATCATTAACAAGAAAAATTTCTTTTTCATTATTAATAACAATAAAACTTGATAATATTGATGACCAACACATACTACGAATAAAACCATATGACCAAGAAGATTGTTGAATAAGTTTTAAATCTCAATCAAATAAACAAATATTTGGATATTGATCTATTAATAAAACTTGATCATTACTAACCATTGTTGGCCAACTTTGATCAGTACATGCAATTTTTCTATATGATTTTGAAAGTTTTAATAAATCTAATTCATATAGTTTAGATTCTTCAATAGAAATTAAATTTTCATTTATTATTAATGGATGAAAATTAATTTCTATTGGTTTAATTTTTATTTGAATAAGTTTTCGTTTAATCCTTTACGACCGGCTATTTCAAAATTGCCCGTACCCCTATACGGGAAAATGTAGCCAAATGGCAACATTCGGCCGTAAAGGGTTAACATCATCTATATTTCGTTGTAATGTTTTTAGATCATCTATTGTAATATTTTGTTCACATATAAATTTTGTTAGTTTTGATCGTATTTGATCAATTTCTATTTGTAATAAAGCAATTTGTTGAATACAATGTTGATTTAATTCTTGATATTTTTCTTCATAAAATTTATTAATTATTATATAACAATCATCACGCCATTGGTTAAGTTTTTCACGATAATTATTTGTTAATTCTTCAATATTTAATTTTTTTAATTGATCAATAAGAGTACTGATATCATCAACTAATAAATTTATTTCTGAGTTAATCGATTCATCATGTTGTTTTAAATGTTCAAGAAAAAGATTTTGATTATAACAATGCAAGGGGGAACAAACTGATGTCTACTTAAGAAATCAGCTTGAAATCAACAGAAATCAATAAAAAGCATTGCATTATATATATTTAACGATTTCATGAAATTATCCAGTGTTGAACTAAAAGTAATAAAAAAATCGCAGTTATACTCAGTCTTATGGAACTCATGCATATTTCCAAAGAAAACAGTGAGTCTAAGTTTAAGTTCACATTTTTTCGGGTTCTCCTCGCTGTTACAGACACATAGGAACATAGGCCTTTATTACAAGCTGTCCCCTATTACGAACTTTAGAAAGGGCGTGGGTGTGGGTGTGGGCGTGGCTGTTTGTCTAAGCCACTTACACCCACCAACACCTACACCCACACCCACACCTCACACCCTATCCAAAAGAATAACAGCTTACTTCACGTACGTTACCGATATCACTCTATCTCTCTTCGTTAAACACCATGAAAAAATCTAACTAAACGGCATTCTGTTTTTTTTTGAGAATGTGGTCATGGTCTGAATATGGTATGTCGGTGACAAGAGGATTCTTGATTAGACCGACAACCCCATTTAAACCTTCATACGAAAAATACTTTTTCCTTGTCACACCAAAACAAAGAGAGTGGTAAAACATATCATTCGCTTTTTCTTGATAGTATCAAATGTACATGAAGTAAGATGTCATGAAGCTGAGTGTACAGATAGGTCAGCATTTAGTGCAATCTGTCTCGCCTCGTTTATAAAAAGAGATTGTACTAGAATGTCCGCTAGGACTATAATGATTCAAACTAATAGAAGATGCAAACAAATAAATTTATTATGATAAGCATAAACATCATAATTAGACTGTCAGTGTTTCAATAGTTTCTTCTAGTTGTTTTTAGTATCGACGCATTCATACAGAAATATTCTATATTCTTTGAGCAATATTTAATTGTTTTTGTACTATGGGAATCTTTCTAATGCGTTCGATATACTGGTTTACAGTTATCAAGTTGTCATCTTCACGTTTCTGTAACATGTCTCTTATTCTTCGTTCGTAATTGATCTTGAATTCTAGAAGTTTTCTAAGTAACTGCGAATTGAAATTGTGATGACATTTAGTGTCACATATGTAATTCTCGTCGTCAATCATTCGATTTAGACTGGCCAAGAACGGATCAGCATTTAAGCGCTGAATTTTATATGTAAAGAAATAAGCGAGGCATATGCTTGCATGAAAAAGTTCATCATACCAGTTAACTGAATCATCTAGTTGATAGTTCAGTTTATCGACTAATTCATAATCAAGTTGATAATCAACTTGGACATGTTGTTCTGCATCACATGAACAATATTCACAGCGATTTCGACACTCGTGTAAAGAGTCACAACTGATCCAAAAGTGATTATATTGTCGTAATGGACGCTCGCAAAAATAGCATATAGCTGAAGGTCTTTGAATAGGTTTTGGATGTAACTCAATCCATTTAAATGAAGATTCAGCATTTTGTAAAAGTTGATTTCGAAGAATATTTCGTATTGATTCCATTATTGGACGAATCATCTGTACAATTTTAAGTCGTGCATATTCTAATCCGTGTAATCCTTGATGTATCAGATATGGGCAATCGTTTTGACGAACATAATGCATGAGTTGCTCAACTGCTTTCTTTGAAAGAGACCAACTCTGCTCACATAATGCCTCCTGAGGATCAGACCAGCGTGCCTGAGCCAAATGAAGAAAAAAAGTACTATCAAATTGAAGTATACGATCGTATCTCCAATCGATTCCTCGAAAGGGTAGTGATTGAAGCAATGATTGAATGCGAGTCTTTCTTTCACTGTCATCATTTGAAGTGGATAGACATTTGGTGAAACAAAAGATCAGTTTGTCATGTGCCTCTTTTCCAAGTAAATTGAGCAACTCCATTAAAAGCTTTCGATAACAAATGAGTTCAGAGTCATTTGACTCTATCACAACACAGATAGCGTTCAAATACGTTAGATTTGAGATACATGATAGAATATGCTGTATTGTTATATCATCATGAGTCTGGCCGCAAGCATCACCAATGCCAGGTGTATCAATGATGCGTAATTGTTTACCATTTCCAATATCAAATGTATGCGATTTGCAACGCTGGGTTGTGCAATGATCAGGAGGATTATGATCTTCGTTTGGATCTTTAGTGCCAAGTTGAATGACGTGTGGTTCTGCATCAGTCATAAGCGAAACCATGAATGGAACGAAAACATGCGGGACAGAGTTTCCTGATCGAGTCTCTGAGAATGTTCCAAACTTCAAACAGTTAGCAATTGTGTTGATAAGTGTTGATTTGCCAACCCCTAATTTACCGACGAAGACAACATTGATAATCTTATCAGTAAAAAATTCTACAATATGAGAGTCGAATTTTTTCATTTTCTTTGTGAAAGAATCATCTAAACCAGGAGTTGCAATATTATTCGTCGCGGGAAACGTGTGGATTCTGTTTAGCTCGTATGAACAGTAGGAAAAATCAACATAAACTAAATTCATATTCGGACTTCTTGTCCGCTCATTAACCAGTCGTGTCAATATGTCTTGCAATTGCGACCAATGCACTAAATTTAAAATGTCATTAGAACATACGATATATTGTTGCTGTCCATCTTTATTTATTTTTTGTTGGATTTCATCATCATTGTCGCTTTGTTTGATGTCGAATTTGTCGGCATTCAAGTAATTGAAACTTTGGTTTTTGAGGTCTTTCACAAAATTTTGTTTCCTTTCTAGACGTCTCAGATCAAGCTCTAAATCACTGATAATGCGCTTCAACTTTCTTTCGTCTTGGAGTTTTAAATGCCGCTCCATAGTTTCTTGCTGCATTTTACCTTGACGAATATGTGAAAACCCTTCTTGACATTTTTGTTTTTCAGCATCATATCGTTGTGTTAGTTCTAAGATCCTGGTATGCATTGCATCGAACTGTTCTTTTAGATAAGTCTCCAAAATATCAGCATTAGTATTTTTTCGAAATGCTTCCCATATTTTATTGATAGAGGATAATCGAAGCCAATGGTTTTCGATTCTTGTTGCGATTCTTTTCTCAATGGGAATAAATTTGATGTTTTCTTCATTTCCATTTGAATAAAATATGTTGATAGGATGAAGAATATAGTTGCAAGCTTGCTGATCAGAAGTATTCTTTTTGATTTTCAAAATTGCTTGACATACTTGTAGTAATGTTGATTGACTTACTAAATCAGACCGATTTGAATAGACACATGTAGAAAGAATTCGACTCAATGCATGTTCATCATTATTTGGTTCAATGTCATGTCTCATAGATTGGTAAATGTCATGAAGTGCGGTATCGATCATTTTCGTATTCTCAGGTGGTAATCTGAGTAGTACAACAACATCAATGCCCCAATCTATTGCAGTAATGATGTGCGTGGCAGAACTTCTAGGTATTTTGGATTGAATTTCGTACCTATCAAGCGACGCCTTCTTTCGAACAAGGTATGAATAGTAAAAGATACGAGAATATTCATCAATTGCATATGGATAATCGAGAACTGAAGCGATACCAGTTGGTGTAACCAAATTTGATAACACACTTAACCGAAGATCGATAGGAAAATCAACAAGACTAAGCAGATTTCGATTTTCATGCTTGTCACCTCTTTTTATCTCACATTTAATTGGTAGATATGAGTAATCTTCTTTCATAGTCAAATTGATACGTTCCGATACTAAAATATGATCTCGCCATCCATCATAACAACCACCGAGTACACCGTCAGAAGTGATAGCCTTGCGTACAAGAATATTTGATAAAGTATTCTTCATTGTTACTTTCTTTTGGTTTTGTGGCGATTCTAACTTGAGAGCTTCCAAGAAAATAAATTTTAAAAAGAGCGCACTGCCATAAACAGAATATATTAGTTCCTTAGGGGCAGGATTCGCTTGAATCATAGACCATTTTTCTCCTTCGAAGGCAAGCCAGCTACTCACACATAAAATGAATTCTTTGGCATACACACATTCTAACCAGTTCTCTGGTAACTTCTTGTAACCATAGTAAGCTCCAGCTAATTGACCATAGATAGCTGCTGTTGTATCTGTATCATCACCAAGATTAACAGCTTTTAGTGCACCTATCTCAAATGAATTATCATCACTCCAAAAAGCCCATAAAGCAGCTTCCAAAGCATTCACTATATATCCTTTACCTCGTATTCCATCTTCATATCCACCTGTTTTTTTATATGATCCTTGTGCAATTGTCATTATATCAGGATGAAGAGTTTTATTACCAAACCATTCTTGATGATCATCATAAAATCTATTACTAGTCAGTTTATTTTTATCTTCACCTTGAATAGCAGCTACAATTAGAGCACCATAATAACGACATGCATCAAAAGCTTTTTCATCTCCATGTGTAATTTGACCACTAATACCTGAATAATCTACAGCTAGATCTGGACTTCGAAAGAAGAAAAGTGGTACAGGTGCAAGACGCATCAAAGCACCATTACCAGCTACATCTTCTTTACTACAATGTATATCAAATGCATGAAGAAGGTCACGATCAGATAGATAATCTATTTGTTCAAAGATAATATCATGATCATGTGCAAACGTTTTTTGTCGCTTTTCAAATTCTTGGATTGATTGTCTAGTAGCTGCACCTATATCAAAACAATGACCAGTAGATGACATATATCCATGACGATACCACCATTTGTAACGAACTAGTTGATCATATGGAACAAAATCTCGGCAAGCAATGAGTGAATTAGCCAAACAAAGAGCCATAGAAGTATCATCAGTAAACTAGAAAAGTAACATATTATACATTTCTTTTCATTAGATTTCTTACTTGTCCTTTTTTTAGACCCCATGTTCCACCTCCTACTAAGTCAGTTACTGGATTAGCTGCTAAATAACTGTGAGGTCTGAATTCTACATGAGCACCAAGAGCATCACCTAAACTCAAACCAAACATTGAACCTTGAATACGATCGATTATATTAGAGTTGATGTCATTTAGTGATGCAAAATCTTTTGAAGTGATTCCAAGCTCATCAGGTTTCTTAATGGATGTTTGATCAACATCATGAAACTGACATTTGAGCCAAGCTTTGTCTAGTAAATGAAAAACATATATATATATATATATATATATATATTAATGAAAATGAGAAATCTCATTGATTAAGAACTTTTGAATTCAAGTAGTTAAATACAAGGACATTTTTCTAAGAAAGTATAATAGATGAAGGATGCTTACTTTTATTGTCTAGTATAGAAGGCGTTGTCGGTATCATTGGTTTGTCTGCAAATAAATGAAGAAAAAGAATTACGTATGAAGTAATGTCATTAGTTTTATTCGAAACAAAGACTCATAAGAGTTACTGACTTATACAAATCTATGTTCAAATGTTTTGCTCGATAGCAATACTGATTAAATGCTGTCTTTGGACAGTTCAATGAAGGGTCGATCTTTAAACTCTAATGTGTGAGAAAGTACTTAATTGGTAATATTTCTAACATCAATATTATTGAAAGTGATACAAAATTAGATTAAAGTGATAGAGAAATGCCATATATCATTATTGTCACTTTATATTTGATTAGGGGAAAATCAATAATGGTACATCAGTTGCAAGCCTTAACATTATGCTAACTCTGAGTTCTGTTTTGAAAAATAATCATTTAACATCGTCTTTTGAATGAATCTAAACGATTGATGCTGTTGACTCAATGACTGTAAGTAATACATTCAACATGGAAGTTTTTTCTTTTTGCTCTCCATTAAAATAGTCAGCAGTACAAACAATGTAGAAACAAAGCCAAATTATTCTTCAGAAAGGATCTAGAAAAGGTATAGCTTCTATCGAAGATACTAAATAACTGTTGCATATTCGTTCTGATATGATTAAGACACTTGTAACCAAAATTTATTCGTTCCAGCTGAGGGATATCTAGAGCCGATAATTCTTTCTGTGCATCACATATCGAGTGTCTCTTTCATCATCACATATCGAGTGTCTCTTTCATCATCAAATATTGCCGTTCATTACTTACCACTCTAATGAAGCGAAACGAAATAGAGAAAAATGCAAAGATAGTGTTTGTCGTTTTGTTGATTATATTGTTCACACGTGTGATGGTTTTTTTTTCTGGTCGACTGATTTTGTTTGCTTTTATTATTCTTTTTCTAATGTACGATTGCTTTTCACTTTTTTTCTCCTTCATTTTTTTCGTTTTTTTTACTTGTTTGTGCAGTATTGGCACAGCTAGTATATTTCTACGGAAAAATATATAGGTAAAAATGACTAAAGCGCCAACTTGTATTAAAATATCAAATGACTAAGCCAGATAATTCAAAATTGTATTTCATAGATGATTTCAAAATGATTCCATTTTTGTGCAATACTTAACAATAGTTGGATAGTATGCAATGTCGATCACCTATTGACACTATTTGTTGCAGCTGCGAACTTGTTGAATTTTTCTACATAGAGTATTAATGAATTTAGTAATAGAAAAGCATAAAAAAAGAAAGTTTCCTGTTGTTTTTGCTGGTATGAAAGTCATTTTTCAGTTGATAATGGTACTACTATTGAAGTAATTCAATTGATTTATTTTGTTGATCCTTTTCAGATAGAATTGTAATACGATTATTAAGCAAATATGATACAAAAAAGTCACCTATATCGTATTTTAGTGCCCCAATGATTGATTTGAAATGGTTATCGCTCGTTTAAGAATACTATAAAATAAAACTACAGAAAGCGAAAATTTAAAGTCCATGTATTTGATTTTTTTAAATAAAACCTATTCTTTTATGTCATAGAAAATGACATTTCTAGTTCTTTATCAATAAAGAATCGTAGTATCATTTTGTTTTTCTTCAAATAATATATTAAAGCATGGTCTCAAAAAGATTTCAACTTGTAGTGTCTTTAGACATGTGTTTACGATAACTTCTTTTTCAATAAATTTAGTTCTTTAAAATTTGAAGAAGTTCATAAAAGTTTTCAGAAGTAAAAAACAAATTTATTAGTCCCAATTAACGAAAAACTAAAGCAGAAATATTACTATGATGAATCGAGGAAGAAAATGGTAATATTCGTTGGAGTTGTAATTGCAGTATTGAATTCAAAAGTTACGTTAATAGTAATCAAACTTCTGCAGACATTCATTGAATTAGCTACAGTAGACTACCGTAGAAATTGGTCATCATACTGATGATCATGTTTACATAAATTAAAGCATATTTAAATCCGTCTCTATCGAATGAGTATGAGTTAAGTTCATTTATAAGAGCACGATAAGCTAAATCATTAATATATTTAATAAATAAATGGTAATGTATTACAGGTTGATTATGTTATTTTTAATAGTTTTGTATAGTTTGCTGTATTTATGTAAAACGTTGAAAGTTTCTTATTTTAATACAGTTAGATAGAGCATCGACTACTCTACCGAACCATATAGTTTATATTTAATTTCCTTTGGCTCTAGTCCAAAAACATCAATAAATCTCAAAAGTAACAAAAAAACATTTTTGCACTTTTCTTATTTCAGATATGCATGGAGAACAAATCGGTGCATTTTTTATTTTATTTTTGTATTATCTCATGCATTTTATTAAAAAACAAAATATACCAGAAGATCCAGCTTGAAAAGCTCTACAATTTACATAAGACAATGTGTTTTGTAGTTTTTGTCTTTGTTTTCGAACTGAACAAAAACTTTTGAACCACCACATTTTGCTCGTGTGAATATTGTTCCCAAGGCATTTTTTTAATTTTTTTTAGACAATTACAATAAGCTTCACTGCCTAAGTTATAGAGCTTTTCACGTTGCATCTTTTAGTATAGTTTACTCTTTTTTTTACGAAAACATATTATGTGATAAAAATCTGAAATTAGAAAAAGAATCTGTTATTCGTGTAGAAAAGAGTTCTTTTTGCAACAACATAAATTGGTTGCACTGAATTTTCCTGTTTTTGAAAATAAAAAGTGTATGATTAAAAGAAGATTTACCGGGTAGATTGTAGAGCTTTTCAAGCTGCATCTTCTAGTATATTTTTTTTTAAGAAAATCCATGAGATACTACAAAAATAAAATCAAAAATGCACCGATTTGTTCTCCATGCATATCTGAAAAAAGAAAAGTACAAAAATTTTTTTTATTACTTTTGAGATTTATCAATGTTTTTGGACTCGAGCCAAAGGAAATTAAATATAAACTATATGGTTCGGTAGAGTAGTCGATGCTCTATCTAACTGTATTGAAATAAGAAACTTTCAACTTTTTACATAAATACAGCAAACTATACAAAACTATTAAAAATAACGTAATCAACCTGTACATAGCTGAATCAGATTACGACAGTGATGAAAAGTGTTTTTCAATATTATATGTAACGGCAATTAACTTTAGCTGACAGGAGTCTACAAAGATTTACCTTCTTAAAGAAAAAGTTTGCTTTTTGAAATGAGAAACAAGAAGATCAAGATATACTAGGTAAATAAATTCTAAATATGAACTACTTGCTAAATCTCATGATCAAGAAATGGTTATCAACATATGTCAGTTCAAGATACATTGACGGAGTAACACTTAGTGGCGAAAAAGAAATTCTTGAATATATTTTCAACTGGTACACATTGTAATTCAGAGAATTTTATTAATCATGAGACATTTGAGCGCATGATGAACTTTATTTAAAGATTTTTCTTCAGTAGTTCGTTACTGATTCTTTCAAATATGAAATGAGGAGATAATGACGGAGTTTATTCGTACTGCTCAAAATAGTCAAAAATTGATATTGATTAATTAAGATTTACTCAGCTAGTTTTATTCTTCTTTATTAAATAATGTCGAATGTGTTGTTGTAGGCACGCATTACAAGTGTCACAACTAACATTCCTAGGACATTTTTATTTTTCTCAAGACTATCAAGAATTTTTTTTTTCATTGTGTTCTCTTCGTTTTCGTGGAAAGCTTCTGCATAGCGTCATTTGTTTCTAGGTTTGACTACAGAGTAAAAATAAAGATATACGATAATTTAGCAGACTCTTTAACACCCTATATTAGTTTTTTCAACTATGCGGGGCTTTGATTTATGTCGTTCATCGTTACAGTTATCAAAATGAAGTTTTCAATCATTTCTTAGATCATCAAACTGTTGGATATATACCATGAAATCAAAGATGAGACCCATGTCAATCGCATGAATAAATAATTAGCACGGCTGTATTCATACTTATTGTCTTCAGTTGAAATATAAAAACTCAAATTCTATTATAGATTTCTTTTTTAAATTACGAGCTATCATTTTTTTTAAAGACTTTTCGCTAATCCATGATTTTGGTTATTTAACAGATTCATAATGGAAATGTTTATTTCCACACGATTTTTGTAGCATTATCATTTTACCTTCTAATGTTCTTCTGATTCTCGGCTTTTTCTTTGTTTTTTTTGTCAAGATACTCAAGATTGATCTACTCAAATAAACACCATATTGTGGTCATTCTATTGTATTGTTGAGAAATTAGACGTTCCTTACTAAATGATTTATAAACACTTTCATGCAAGAGCTAATAGTGAACCGCATATAAACATGTAAGTGTCCTTTCAATTTACGAGAAGAAAAATGACTTTGCTAATGAGAACATACAGTAATGGAGAAGTTTGAATTCTTTTCAATGTGACTTAAATTTGACTGATTGACTGCACTTGGACGACAAAGAATCGGCAAACTAACATGTTTTTTTATTCAAGCACTTGTTCATATTTCAAACACAGGTGAAACAAAACGAATCTTTCGATAAGCTCTTGCAATACGTCAAATACTGTCATTATTTTTCATTTTTACGTGCAAACTCTAAAGATAAAATGCCGCATTTATTTACATAAAAATTTGAGGGTGTGGGCGTAGGTGTGTGGGTGTGGGTGTGGGGTGTGGGTGGGGGTGGGTGTAAACTGTGGA